TTTAGAATTTGACCAGAAACAGCCGTACCCTCTTATGCAGCTGACTTTGTACACAGCAGGTACTCAATAAATCAAGATGGATAAATAAATGAATGGGTAGAAGGAACGGAGAAAAAGTAAAGATTAAGAAGAGGTTCCAACCCCAGTATATTGTATGTTGGGGGTATACAGTATTGACAGAGTTCCAATAAGCGTCACAAATCTATCTTTCTTGGATTTATCTAACTCTTGTCAACCTTTGTTACTTCATGAAGGTAACTCAGCCAGCAGTTTGCTTCTGTACTCTGGCCTAGAATTTTGCCCTAAGGCTTCCTTGGCCTTACTTTTCAGATGATCCCTAAACTTCTAGAAATCTAGCGCAATGGAGAGTGCAGGACTTGCAGCAAGAACCTGGGTGCAAATTGCTGCTCTGTCAATTAATAGCTCAAATTCCAGCCTATTATTTAGTGGTTCTATGGCCATTGTGTTAGTTACATTTCTTTGAACCTTGTTTTAATCTATAAATTGAGAGAATAAATACTCCATAACATAGTAGGGAGGACTCATATCTTCCCAATAATGTAGAACATTTAATAAAATTTGCATCCTCCTCTAACCCATGCCTTCCCATTGTCATAATGCTACAGACTTTAATCATAGCCTCACTTAAAACACAAATCCATAGGATTCTTCATATTTGGAATTTGACAAAACTAAGTTATCCTAGACTAGTGGTTCTTCATCTGTGATTTTTTTTCCCCCAAGGAATATTTGGCAATGTATAGAGATATTTTTGGCTGCCACAACTGGTGTGTGGGGCGGGTGCTACTGGTATTTAGTGGGCAGAGGACAGAGATATGTTAAATATCCTATAATACACAAGACTGCTCCACACAAAAAGAATTATCTGGGCCAAAATAGCAATAGCGCTAAGTTTGAGAAACTCAACTCTAGAGTAATGGTCCACGGGAGAGACCAGCTTCTTGCAGATCCCATTACCCAATTCATTCCAGCGTGTGTGTGTGTGTGTGTGTGTGTGTGTGTGTGTGTGTTACCAGAACAGAAGGTGGGAGAAGTAAGAGGAAGTCAGGGTAAAGGACTGGAAAATACCAGCAGAGGGCTGTTTCCCACAGCATCTCTGTTTAGAAAATCTTACTTTCCCTTCCAACTCTCCAAAAGCCCAGCTCAAGTCTTGTATTTTCTGGGACATTTTCCCTGAGCACCCAAGGATTCAATTTTCCCTCCCTTGACCTCTCAAGATTAGATTGCTGATTTGTAACTTAAATCGTATACATCCAAGAAGTCCCTGCCTTCACATTTCACACATATACTATACACATTAAGAACTGAGCAATTAGGATTCACATCTTCTTAAGGTGATTTACAAAATGGCAAAGGAAAGTGTGCATTCATGCATTCGTGGCATATCTCTGGTGAAGGCTGTTTTGAAGCTTCTTTTGAAAGTGGCTGCTAATGGATTGATAATTGGTTCCCTGGCTTCCTTAAGAAGTGTGAAGCATTCTGCCAGCCTGTCAACAAAGCGTGAAGTATTGTGCAAACCACCATCAGTTATTTGTATCTTCCTTCCCATTGTATCTCTTGTGGTGGAAGAATAACTGGACAAGATTGTATGGGAAATGCTGTCTATTCTTTTGTAAAGAAGGAGGTAAAATGGGCAAAGCTTCTGGAAGGTAAAGAATATGTGCAGCCTGGCCAAAGTTTTCCCACCATGATAGCCAGGATGAGCAAATTTCCTAGGCAGAGAATGAACAACTCTGAATCCAATGCATGGTGCTCAGCACAGGGAAGACAGGCGGTCAATAGCTTGAATGGATGGAAAGTGGTATTACTTCCCATTGATTTTGAGCATGGGTCCCTGAAGATGTGAATTAACTAAGGACCAGAGAGTAAGAGCAAAGAAGCTGGTTCCATCTTTTCTTTCAAAACGTTTTTCACTGTGAGATAAATCATCTTCTTAAAAACCTAAATTAACAAAAGACTATCTATTGAGCATCTACTACTGTGAGGGCAGCTCGAAAGCCAACAAAATGATTCTGAAGTCTCTGCTTGCTACAGAAAATGTTTTGGAACATGAAGGAAGAGTGTATTTGTGTATTTTTGGCAGGGTAATTCCCTAGTAAAGAGTTGTTTTGAAGAAAATATTTCAAGAGAAGAACAATATAATACTTTGCATCTATTCAGGCAACTTCTCAAAGAAATTTGAGCCATTGAACTAATATCCCCAATCCCCTTCTAGCTCTCAATAAGGAAAGGGCAATGTTGTTTGCCAAGTATTGTATTAATATTTATTGTGACTAATGTATTGTAAAATTTAGGGCACTTATGCTGACTTTTGCCAGAGGAGCTTTTGTATGTACATTTATAAGCACTTTATAAAACACAGAGACCAACCTTATATTTTATATTTTTATAGACGTTTATAGGTATTGTCCCTTTTCTATTGATAACACTATAATATATTTGATCTAGAGTTAACAGCAGAACACCAAAGTTTAACACTATCCCCCAACCAAAGTATGACCTGCTCTATAACGATCCACTTTCAAAGTAGCTTCCAGGTACTTATTGTGGAAAATGTGAGGACTATTCATGTCGTAGTGATCTTTTTCTATAAATATGATCATAGAGGTTTAGAATTTTTGGAGCCAGAATGGAGTGCTACCTTATTGGATAGGTCAGTACATGAAAATCCAGAGAGAAGATGCCTAGCTTTAGTCACAAAGCTGAGCTAGACTAAGAACCTGGTCTTCAGATTTTGACACCAAAGTCATCTCAGTGCACCAGGCCTTTCTTATCACCATACTTTCTTATCAGCACTTGAACTATGAGCTCTCTGAGGGCAAAGCCCAGGACCTATAAAAGCATCAGCTTGCCTGCTGGGTACTCAGTAGAGAGTGGGCAGATGGAAGTCCCTCACTTTGTTGAAATCCAAGTGTGACCTGGCTATATGCTGCAAAGGCATGGGGCCAGTTCATTCCCTCTGGCTTCCTCCATGGAAGCCAGCATCCCTGAGATTCAAGCTGTGTCCCGTTACTCTCCAATGTCCAGACACACTTGCGTGATGGAAGTGCCTGGGGATGTCATCCTGCTCTAAACCAGAATTGTCTAGAAGAAATGCCATGTCGTCTCCCCAGAGTACCTGCTTAGCTTTCATCCATAAGCCTCAGGCCCCTCATCCTTGTTTTAAACCACAGGGAGCACTGACACGTACTTGTCAAGACAGCCCTATCCTCTTTCCTTCACAGCTGTTTGCAAGCAGTGCCCAGCTCACTGGAGGCTGCCAGCCCTGCTTGTGAACACCAAGGGCCTGCTGGGCAGCACTTCAAGGTCTTCTGCCCTTGGTAAAGGTTTTACAAGGATGTTCTAAACCTGCTCCTAAGAGCCAAAGAGCCAAGTAAACTCTTGGAGGGGTCAAGCAACAGTCCCTCAGCTGACATTCTGCTACCTGCTTCTTTCAGCTTGAGGAACAGTGAACCTTATCCTGGTCCTAAGAGGCTGGCTGGTTTTGCTTCCCATGTCAATCCTCCCAGCTCTTTGTCGCAGAAGCTAGATCCTCCTCCATTTCTCCCTGCCTTGTTTTATCTAGATGAATTGAAGAGATTAAGCCCCCATGGCACCTGGGGCTCCCACTGTGTGTACCTTTATCTTCTCAGGCCCTGCCTCTACAGAGCCCTGCCCCGTGCACCCGTCCCTGGGCTTGGTCTCTGCAATGGACAGAGCCTTTGTGTTTGCCTGCCCTGAGCTGCTCCCTGCTCCTCCAGGTCCTTGTGGCTCCCAGCATGCTACGCGGCTAATGCTGTTGGGCTCTATATTCTAACCACAGTGGGAAGCAGAGATGGGCAGATATCATTCAATTTTTTTTTTTCAATAAGGGTGATTTGTTCAATGTGTATTTAAGGGTGATTTGATCTTTAAACCTCTCAAGACTTTTTACATAAATAAACTCAAAAGTCATCAAAATGCTTTGTCAGACAAAGTGATTTTTGTTTCATTTAGAAAGTATAATCACCATGGTACATCCCAACTCATCAACTCATATACCAAACTCTCAGTCATTACAGAGACCCTGACAGTCTCCCAGGCTATTCCTCTCCCAGCCCCGAGGGATAACCGATCTCTAGTGTGCAGAACTCAAGACCCCAAGTAACACACTGAGCCGGGGGAAGGATCTGAGGATCAGGATGCCTGTCTTTCCCTGAGAGAAGCACATGGAAAGAGATGGAGAAGGTGGAGTGACAAGGGATGGGAGAAGACGTGACAGCCCAGAGAAGCTGGAAATTTTGATTTCCCAACAGAGACCATGCCTGGGCCTCCCTTGGCTATACACAGCCCCTCATCCTTGCCAATCCCGCTGCGACTGAAAATTTAAGATGTCATTTGTGCTGCAAAGTATGGTCAGGTCATCCAAGAGGAAGGAAGAAGGGCTTCTTTGTTATCTCTACAGAACAGACCACTCAACACCAACCCCTTTCCCAAAAGATCAACAGTCCAAAGATAGCTTGATCTCTTATCCCTTCCTAAATCCAATATGAGATGAAGCAATTTTGGGAAACTGTTTATATCCTGGCAAGGCCAGTTTCCCACAGCACTGAAGGTTGGTGGTGTCTACAATCTTACAAACTTGCCAGTCCCTTCCACCTTGCTTGATTAGATGGTGCCAGTGGTGGCAATGAGGGTGAGTAGGAAATGTCTGGGTCTGAGCCTGGTGGGCTAAGCCCCAGTGGTATCTCCTTGCTCTTAAGGATCTCCAAGAAGGGTAAGATGGCATTGAAGAACATCACCAAATGTCAAGAGCACTTGTTCTCAGTGCTATAGTCGACTTTGCTTGCCAGAAATGAGGACCCCACCAGCAACGTTCCGGGGAGTAGAATAAACCAACCAGAGTGCAGCTTTTGTTACAACCTGCAAGGTTCCCAGGGACGGGGCCCCTGGACTAGCTAGGAAATGGGCCCCTGCCTCTCGGTGAAGACCCTGGCGTGGCCTCCTCCCTGCTCACTTACACACGCAGCCTGGCTTCTTAGCCGACCATTGGTTATTCTTTTGGCATGTGATTGCCTTCTGTCCCACCAGCTCGAAGGCGGGCTGGCACTCAAACTTGAGTGTGTCACCGTGGCGAAACCGGGAGCCTTCCCTCCAGCCATACGCAGGTATGCCAGGGTCACCGCAACTGCCCTGCTCGATCTCTGAAAGACAGGAAGATGAGAAAACAGAGACAAAAGGTGACTATACCTCTCTTGGAGCTGAAGGTCCACATGACATGCTCTGCTGCTCTTCTGCCATAAGTCAGTGTTCAGAGTGACACAGGTAGGATTCAATGTTCTTATAAGGAATGAGGTTTGTGAGAAATCCTGCAATGTCCTGTTTCATTGCAGCATCCTAGGATGAATGGGCTTCCAGCTATCAAGTGCCTGAGACTCTGTGTCCACATAAAGTGTTCTAGATGCTTGGATGTTTTGACCCCTTATCCCTCCCTAAATCCAATATGAGATGAAGCAATTTTAGGGAGAAGGTGGGTCTACATTCTTCACAGGTTACCTGTCCCAGGAGCAACAAGTTCCACAGCATTAGAAGTCTTCGGAGACTTCCTCACTTAACCTGATCTTGCATCTGAACTGCTAATGTCACATGACAGATCTCAAGTACAGTCCATTTCTGAGCAGCAAAGGCAAGTGCAAGACGACACAGCAGTTGAGGCTTTGCTCCCTGTCTTTTTCTCAAACCAGAGATTAATTGAGAATAAATGTTCACTGCCTGCTGATGTGGAAGCACCTTCACGGAGATGTTTCCTTAATTCAATTTGAGATGGTAGCAGGTAAAATGAAGCAAATGACTCACTGAGTATGCTTTGAAAGTTCACTTGAGTCAACAGTGGTGAGTCAGACATGGAGTGGGTTCTCTGAGACAGCTCTGGGGGTCCTGAACCCAGTGGGTATGATGGGCTGGCTACCTCACTGGAGAGGCAGTCAGGACTCAGACGCTTCTGGAAAGGAGTATGTCCTGGCCAAGCCTCTGGAGCTTCCTCTGGAGTCACCCCCACTTCCACTCAGGCTGTGCTTAATGCTGTGAGAGATGGACAAGGAGGGGGTGGTGGAAGGGAGGAGGAAGAAGAGGGAAGGAGAGAAGCTCTGTTTCTGGGGGAGGAGCTCTGTTTCCGGGGAGAAGGGCGTCCTGCAGGACAGACAGGAAGTCATGAAGCCAGTGCTAGACAGTGAGGTGAGGACTGTATGAGTCCTGCGATTTGGGAGAGAGGGGCCCAGAGTCATCAGGGGAGTTTTTTGGACACCTACCCAGGATTCTCAGGACAAAGGGACCCTGCCTGTTCTGTAGACACCATCATGGGATGTCAGGCACCACAGTCCCTGAAGTTGGTGTGTGTGATCCTGACAGGGATGATTCTGCAAAGGCTTTCCTACCACACTGTGGGGCTTCTGTGGGCTGGTCAGAGTTGCCATCAGCTCCAGGCACTGCCTTTTATGGACGGGCTCTTGACTGTTGCATTCATGTTACTGCAAAATGAAGGCTGCCAGCTTTGTGCTGAGAGCAGGCAGGACAAGGTATTCTATGGCTGGGGTTGTGTGTGTGTTAGTGTGCGTGTGTGTGTGTGTGAGATCATCTAAGTCGAGCAACAAGGGTCCCTTCCTTTGTGCAGGGGAGTCTGTGTGACCATGTGCCAGGTGTGAGGCATCTCAAATGTAAGTCAGCCCACTTGCCTCTCACCTCACATGTGCCCCAGCCTCACCCTCTACAAGTACGCCTGCTGAAAACATAGCTGAACCCCCTCTGAAGCTGGCTTTGCTCAGGCTCAGGGATGGGGGAGGGGATACACTGAGGCATTCCAGGAACATGGTCCCTTTGCTCCAGGTCCCAGAGCTCCAGGGCATCTGAAGGAAAGAATAAGGGGCCCCTGTGATAAGTCAATGTGGAGAAGCAAGCAGCAGGACCCACCTGCCTCCAGATGTCCCCAGATATGCTTTCTGGGATATAGCCTGGGGTGTGAGGGCTGTCACTGCAGGCATTTTGAGACCTGGTGAAAGTTACACAGCATTTGAAGCCAGAGCTGGATCCTTCCTGCTGCCAGGGGCAGAACCCAGATATAAGGTTTCCTAGCGAGGCCCTACCATTGCTGTAGGAGATATGCATGTGGGGTACGTGTGCCTGTGTTCCTGCCCACAGCAGCTAGTCTGTGATTGGCTTAAGAGAAAGGGTATACTAAGGGGGATGAAGGAATCTGCCCAGCCTTCCCATTGTGCAGGCACAGCCCTGCACACATGCCCACATCCACCCACCCATCACTTTCTCCTACCATCATTCAATCACAGGCACCCACTTAAGCACAATGCAATGAGCACCTATTGTGTGCCAGTTGCTTTGCTAGATCCTTGACATCTGGACATGGTCTCTGCCCTCAAGAAATGAACAGACAAAGAAACAGGTGTTTATGATACAGGGGATTTGTGCTGTGGATGCACATAGGAGAAGCACCTAACTCAAACTTGGAGGATCAGTCTGGAAATAGGGTGTGGAGAGTGGAAGTACTAACCTCATCTCCAAAATTTCGAGGGGCACCAAAATCTCAGTTACCATGACAAATAATATCTTAGTGCAATATTTTTTTTAGAAAATCACAATTAATGCCATAAATCCAGTTCACAATGAAGAAAAATACCAACATTTAAAATAAAGCCTGGATCCAACCCTATGCTCAGATGACTCACCTCACTGGTCTCACCATAGTCCCAGCACTGTCAGAGCCTGTCTTTGATTCAAATGTAGATGTGTTTTAACATGGACATTTCACATTAATATTATTTTTAAAAACAATTTGCATTAAGTGTTATAGATCTTAATTGTTGCATTTTTTTCCCCCATCACTTAAATTTCATGCCCATGAGTGCCCTGCTCACCTGACCCTAGTCCCAGTCCTGGGTCAAGAAAGGCTTCTTGCAGGATGTGGTGTCCAGGCTGAGGCCCTAAGGCTGTGGTGGAACCAGGAAGGTGAAAAGGAACAGCAGGAGAGAAGGAAGGGCCTTAGATGGAGGGAAGAACCCTTGCCCAGTTCCAGAGGTAAGACTGTTTGTAGGACTGTGATATAGGAGTGACAGTAATTACCCAATAGTTATTGTCACAGCTAACGTTTAGTTATATAACTAAGTGCCTGGTCTTGGCACTTGGGTGTACCCTCACTGAGACAAGAATGCAAGAAGAGGTATAGATAGGTCTGAATGGAATTGTCAGTAGGAGATGCTGAGTTTTAAGGTACTAGTGGGACCTCCAAGTAGAAATATCTAGTAGGAAGTAGCTACATGGGTCTTAAGTTCAAGAGAGAAGTCTGATCTAGAAATTCAGCTCGTAGATTGTAAAAGAAGCCATGAGAAGGATGAAACGACCCAAGGAGAGTGAGAAGGGATGTTGGTCCAGGACAGGACAGTTAGGGACAATGTAGGGACCAGCAGAATGCTAGACTGGGAGAGTGGGGTCACAGGAGCTTAGAGAAGAATGAGTTTCAAGAAGATCAAAAGCCTTGAATGCTGCAGGGAAGTTTATATAGGATTGTAAAACAGGTTAGCAAAAAGAGGTCACATTGATACTGTCAGGATTGTGTGTACCGATGAGGCCAACACCCAACAGGAGAAGAGAAGGTGATACCACTCTATCCAGAGAAATTAGGTAGCAGCTCATGAGGCATATGGCCTGGGTGGGAGTGGTTAAAGTAGTTTAGTACAGGGGAAACTTGGCCATATTGAAATGCTTGAGAAGAATAAAGGGGTGGGAGGAAAGATGTATTGAATGGTTAGCTGACGATTTGGAGTAGAAGGGGGTCCCTACAGGGGCTCCAGAGAAGGAGAGAGGCATGGGACTGAGAGCACACATTAGAGACCACAAGGGATGCTCCTTCCCTCAAGACCGCAGTTAAGAGGGAAGAAGTGGTGGCAGTGAGTTTTCAGGTAGGATGGCAGGAGACCAAGGGAGATCCTGTGATGACACAGGCTCTATTTTCTAAGTGGAGGAGGTCACAGTCTTTGCTGAAGGTGAGGGACAAGTCATGGGAAAACAACTTGAGGAGAATGTCTGAAGCTGTCACTCTGGAGAAGAGGAAATCATGCCTAGATGGATTAAAATGCACCTCTGGGGCCCACTGAGGGTGCAGATGACTCATTTATAGGGATACCATCAAGCGGGGCTATATGACTTGTCCCAACAGCCTTTGACCACTTGATTCCTGTAGAAGTAGAGGAAGGGGTAGGAGGATTGACTGAGTGAGGGGGGATTGGGCTTAGAGAAATGGAAGACAGTGGGGCAAAGGAGCTGAAGACGTTGTTCAAAAGAATGGCCAAAGTGTTATCCAAGGGGCTTAGGATGAAGAATGAAAGAGGTGAAGGGACCAGGGGGCGATAGGGGAAATAGGGGTTGGGAAGGGATGATGGGCAGTAGTAGAGGGAGTGTCATGTGAAAAAGCTGAAGTATGTGGAGTTGAGATTTCAGAGGTGCTTGATGATGAGGTCCAGCTGCAGCCAGGGTGAAGTACACTGAAAGAAAGTGAGAAGGTCAAGGCCTGAGAGGCAAGGTGATGGCAAATAGGGAGGAGGAGACCAGTGACAGTGATGAGGAGGGGTAGAAAGTGTCAGAGCTGGAGACAGCATAAGGTCAAAGGGGAAGGGGTTTACACGTGGGTGGAACAGCATTGGCGAGCGAGCATACGAGCCCCTCTCAAGGTGAAGTTCATTCGGCGTGGGGAAGTGAGCTTCTAGCACTGCAGAGGGCTACAGGGTCATGGTGACCTCATGGGAACTCAGGTTAAAGGGAGCATTTGGCAAAGAGTTCCAAGGCATAGGGGGATGTGTTGCCCAGAGAACCAAGATTGGGGAGAAGGAAGAGGAAGAACAGAGCAGGGTGGGGTGAGAGTTTGGGAGCTCCTTCCAGGAAGGCAGACGGGGCTGCTGGCTGGCTTCTGTCCCTTTGATGCCTCCTGTCCTGGCCTAAGCCTTCTCTCCAAGCTCAGAGTCAACTCCTGCTGGAAACACAGGGACCAAGGTCCCTGTCTTTCTGTAAAGGGCTCCCTGTGCTCTACTGGCCTGCCTGAAAGGTGTTTGATCTGACACTTCTGGTCAGGTGCTGACCAAGTCTGACGTCAGGACCCAGAATTGCAAATAGATAAATGGATTTTGACTTCAGAAAAATCACA